TGTGCCTTAACAACTAGTGAGTGGGGAGTCAAGATTCAAATCCAGGCCTGCCTGACCCCAAAGTTTGGACTGCAGATCCCTGTACTCTGCTCTGGGCAAGGCTCTGTCCCCTTAGGGCACATAGAGACAGTATAGCAGACTGGTCAAGAAGATGAACTGTAGCCCTAGCCGGTTTGGCTCAGTGGGTAGAGTATCAGCCCACGGACTGAAGGATCCTGGGTTCAATTCCAGTTAAGGGCACATACCTCGGATGCAGGCTTGACCTTGGTTGGGCATGTGCAGGAGGCAGACAGTTGATGTGTCTCTTTCACATCGATGTTTCTCTCTCTATGTCTCTCCCTCTGCTTTCCAGTCCCTCTAAAAATCAATGGAAAAATATCCTCAGGTGAGGATTAACAACAACAAAAAGAAGAACTCTAGACCAGACTCCCAGGGTTCACACCCTGGGTCTACTACTTACTTGATTTTTCCCGTCTGTAAAAGGGTTATTGGTAATGTGTACCTAACTTTCATTGAGTTGTTAAATGAGAATGAAACACGTTAATGTTGCTAACCTAGTACTATCTGTGCTTGGCTCGGGACAATGTTTTAATAAATTAAAATAAATAAAATCCCTGGCTTCATGCCCATGAGCCATACTCTCATAGCAGGCAGGGGGTGGGGAGAGGAGGGGACAGGCAGGTTCGGAATCGTCTTAAATGCTGGAGAAGCCGCAGTCAGGATTGTGTGAAGCTGTGTGTCCTGGCCTGTAATCAGTTCTGCTACATCGCTTGTTTTGAAAATGTGAATTTGTTCCAACACGATTGAAATATTAGGGAATAATTTAGCATAGCACACATTTTGCCTTTGCTCAGGTACGATTTCATCCACAAGAAATGGTAGGTGAACACAGAAAATTTGCATCCATGTAGGAAAACACAAAACACACACACACCTCAAACATAACCTGCTCCCTCAGCTCCCGTGTGTCATCCTATCCACACCTGGTGTTTCTGTCCATGTTAGCAGCCTTCCTTCCCCTTCACACTAACTCCCAGGCTGCAATCCTTCTCACACTCACCTCCACAAGCAAACTTCAGGGCATCTTCAAAGTAAAGCAGCATATTTATTAAAGTATTTCTGCATTTCTTAACCATTCAACATGTGCAAGACCGTGCTACCATTTTTACTATGTTCCTGTCTTTTTTTGGATGTGATACTGACATAGTATTTGGGTGTTGTGCCATAGCCCCATTTTCCCCATAAGCTCTGTGATTTTTATTGTAGGATTGTGCATGCACAGTAATGTTTAGGAATATATATTTCATGTTATGGCGGAACTGACTGTATGATAGGCTCAGCAAGCCTGTGGGAAGGTGGATGGACAGTGGATGTGTGAGGCAGGTGGTGAATGGATGGACAGAGAGCTCATAAACTGCCCAAGCCTTTCCGAACCAGGAAGACTGTGCAGCCTTTTAATTTTGGATGCAATTGGGACAGGTGATCTATCTGGAAAAGAGTCAAACCCCCAATAACTCAATTACCTCTTTAACCATGGAGAGCATGGAAAATCCAGGGCCAAACAGAGGTCGAGGATTAATAATAAAAGACAAATGGGTTTCAGCTCCTTCAACAAAACTAACAGGATTTGAAATGCAGATAATCTCATTTCACCATTAACACAAGATAAAACGCCAGTAGAGAACGGGTTGCAATCCTGTTTCAGGCCTCTGTGTGCCATGTGCCTCTGGGAGGACCACCTGCTGCAGCCCCCATGCACCCCACCCCAGGCCTGGGCTTGGTCTCAGGCATCCAGATGTTGCACTTCCTAGCAGATCTGGAATCAGAAATGCCAGGAAAATGCCAAAAGGGAGATGAGGCTATTCCAGTCTGGGTAGCAGGCCACAGTATCTCAATCCTTTATTCCATTTGCCAGGTGCTGGGCCAAGCACCTTGCCTGCATTATCTCACTGCCTCTCCCCAACAACTCAGCAAGGCGATTACAACTTATTCCCATCTTCTACGGCTCAGGGAGGGTGCACAGCCCTGGAATTCAGGGTCTATATTTTGCCCGAGTCCAGTCTTAACTACTGTATTTCCCCAGTTTGGGGCCAGCTAAAGGATGTAGCAGTGAACATTTATTGAATTCCTACTGCATACCAGGCAGTCTATGTAGTAGCATGTTTGTGGTAATAATTCAACAAGCTCTTTGCAAATGGATCCAATGAGCAGACATTTTTGGCTCTCACCCATGGAATGGCTGCGCACGGTCCATGAGGTCGATGTGGTCTTGTTTGCAGATAAGATTCAAGTGCAGACACACCAGCACCTGCCAGCAGTTGGCTGGGAGGAGTAGGAGCAGGTCTGACTTTGCATCCACTGCCTTCCGTCCTACTCCTGGAAGACCTCGAGGTGGAGTGGGGTCTCCAATGCAGCCGGCCCTCTGGCCAGCAGGGACCAGCCACCTCTGTATTCTTCCTTCCTCCAGCCCCATGGAGGATGTGATAACCTGTTCAAACCCGTTCAGGGTTTCTGGGGCGTCTGCTTGGTTCCTTGGCAGCCGGCGAGGCACCCTGGGATGGGAAATCAGGCAGCCGCCCAGATATTATAAACAATTACTACTAATTACCAGGGCTGCCAGTTCCCCATTGTCTGCTCACAATCTCACCAGGAACCGAGGAGCATACAATGACGATGTTGGAGGAAACTTTCAATTTCAGGCTCTGCTTAGGAGGCTGGGCCCCTTCAGTCACTTGGCATTTAAGAGGCACTGACTTTTTCCAGACCTTTGGAGCCCCCAGACCCTTCCTCAGATGGCCAGGAGGTTGGGGTGGGAAAGAGACAGGTGTGGAGTGAGAGAGCCTGGGTCTTAGCTGTGGTGCTGTTAATGAAGGGTCTTCGGGTTTGCAAGAATAATAGGTACTCATTTCTATGCGCAGATATTTAAGTTATATTTCCCGTACTTTCTCTGTGATGCTATTGCATAATTGTTGAGCTAAGAGATTCAGGAGCCCGACTTGGATTCAGATGCCGCTCTGCCTCTGTCTGGTCTTCTCCTGATGCAGCGGGAACAGGTGCTCCGCTCGGGGGCAGGGAGGGTCCCACAGCTTCACTTCACAGGATACCTGGCAGCCATTGCTGCAAAGCATCGTGCCTTTGGCTCAGCCCCACCCAGTAAGGAGGATGGCCACGGCCCTCTCTGCTTTCAGATTCCCGGACCTAGCTGGGGTTCCCTGCCCTCCCTCCGCATCGCCGGCCCAGCTCAGGAACCCAGCCTTCCTCCAGGATCCTCAGGCTTCTCTGGCCCTTCCCCTCCCACCCTGACCTCCTCTGCTCTCCCAGGCTGGGGTTTTGTTTGCTTGTTTATTTGGGATCATGTTAAAAGGCAGTCTCTGCTCTCCCAGGCTGGGGTTTTGTTTGCTTGATTATTTGGAGGCAGGGCAGCCAAGTTTTGCACCTATCCTTCTAAGTCTGTTTCTTCTTAGATTTGAAGCTCAAAAGCCAGGAATCTGACTGTCTTATTTCCTGGCTACGGCCTGGATGGGGAAAAAGGGTGGTAGGAAATCATGAAAATGATGCCCGGCCATTGTGACTCAGTGGTTAAGCTTTGACCGAGGAACTAAGAGGTCATTGGTTCAATTCCCAGTCAGGGCACATGCCTGGGGTTGTGGGCTTGATTCACAGTAGGGGGCGTGCAGGAGGCAGCCTATCAATGTTTCATCAGTGTTTCTATCTCTCTATTCCTTTCCCTTCCTCTCTCTAAAAATCACTATAAACATATATACATATATAAATATATGAAAATGAGAAGCATTCAGGCTAAAATGTGAAATTCTTATCCTATAGCAACTCTGCCGATAACTTAAGTAAGAACCGAATTTATTAGAATGATGCTGGGTGTCTCACCTGGTTGAGGAAGAGCTGAGCAGCCAGGACTAGGTTGCTAGTAGTTTGAGGCCCTTTGCGAGGATCGGCCATTCACATGGCTCAGACCTAGGAGATGGGAATTTTATTATTCCCCTTTCAGAGAAAATTAACAGAAATAGGCTTAAGCAAAGGACATTATTCTAGTTGTTGTTGTTATTACTATTGATTTGTGTCACTAAAAAAAAATGATGTAGTTTTTGCTTCAGGCAGAGCTTGATCCAGGAGCTCATGCAGTGCCCCCAGTCTGATGGCTTCATTCATGGACTCCAGGTGGTAGCAAGATGGCTGCCAGAGGCTCCAGTCCGGTTCAGGTTCACGTCTGGTGGGAAGAGAGAGCTTCTCACTCCCTACAGTCCAAAGAAAGCTTCCCAACCAGATTCTTGTGGGCCGAATTGGCCACGCACCTGCCTTTGAGCCAGTCACTGACCAAGGGAAGGATTGGTCAGGATGAGCTCACACCAGCCTCTGGAGCCAGGTCTGCTCCACTCTGTGGGAATCAATACCTTGGGGAGGGGGCTCCCTAAAGGAGATTTGAGATCTTGTTCCCAAAGGGACAGGGTAAACATTGGGCAGCCTACAGCAGCAACGAATGCAGGACCTCCAAGGCCCAGCCACTGGTCCCATGGATCTCGAACTGTCAGGTGTGAGTGACTCTTCTGGGATCATGTTAAAAGGCAGGTTCTGCTTCAGCAGCTGGGGGTGGAGAGGGGCCCAGTTCCGTTTCTGGTGAGCCCTCAGGTGATGCTGGTCCCTGGACCATGCTGAGTGTCATTGAACCATAAGAGCCAGGCACCAACAAGCATCATCTCCCCACGTGCCTACAACCACCTCAAGAGGCAGGTATCACCTTACCCATTTCATGAAGGTGGAACCTAAGGCCGAGCGAGGAGAGATAGGGAGATGGTACAGGAGAGTTTAGGGCCACGGAGATAGAAGGGAGGGAGAGGCAGGGCATGTGTCTGCCTGAGGCGGGTGATGGATGTGGACGGAATCACCGTGGCAGAGGGACATTGTAGAGTTGACTACCTGAGTTATCTGAGTCCTTGGTTGGCCCCTGGGAACAGTTGTTTATATCTCATCCTTTCTTTTTACAGCCTTAACTACGGGGGAGTCTGCCTGGCATCGGATGCACAGTTCAGTGACTTCCTGGGCAGCATGGGGCCAGCGCAGTTTGTGGGCCGCCAGACCCTGGCCACCACACCGATGGGTAAGTGCCCCAAGATCTGTTCCTAAGGGGGGTCCCATGGGAAGGTTTGCATCACCCCTTCTTCCCCTCTGTGTTGGCTGCATTTGCTGGAGCCTGGGCATGTGGTATGGGAGTAATTTGGGGCTGGGAGCAGACGAAGGGGATTTAACCCTAAGCAGATAGGAAGGTCTGAGTCCTTGATTGAACTTTGAAGCCACTTCCCAGTCTCATCTGTTGAGGCCTCTTGCAGGGGACGTGGAGATTGGCTTACAGGAGCGGAATGGCCAGCTCGAAGTGGACATCATCCAGGCGCGGGGACTGACAGCCAAGCCAGGCTCCAAGACACTGCCAGGTGTGGTGTGCCTTCCCCACTGCAAGGTGGGGTGCAGGCTGGGGAGTATGTCTGGAGGGATATATGAGTGTAGAAGAGAGAATATTGAGCCCCACTGTGGAGGACTCCTTTGTCTCAACTGTAGTGACTCACAAAGAACTGGTGACTCAGGGTTTGTTCTGGGGACTCAGTTGAGATTGTCATCTGACCTCGGCTGACCTTGTCAGCACCCCTGCTGACCAAGGTAAGGATTGGTCAGGATGAGCTCACACCAGGCTCTCGAGCCAGGTCTTTCCTGCTTATGATTATATTCTGGTGCCCGGTAGGGTGCTTGGCACGCAGGGGGAGATCAGAAAACATTTGTTCAGTGAATGGGTAGCGATGAATGTATAAGCCAGGAAAGGAGAGGGTGAGTCAGTGACAGAGAAAGGAAACAGGTGAGTACAGAGTGAGCAGGGGAAGGTAGGGGACCTCCTGCGGGGGTGGAATAGGCCCCACCACCCTACCACCCACACCTACCACCGGGCTTGGTCCTGTTGTCTCCTCCCACGGCCCCAAGGGGGCACGCTGATCCCCATTGGTGGTGGGCAGCCTCCCCCTGCTGTGCCTTGTGCCCATCATTGTAGGCCCACACTCCAACTTACCCTCCTGGCTTCTGTTCCCAGCGGCCTATATCAAGGCCTACCTGCTGGAGAATGGCGTCTGCATTGCCAAGAAGAAGACCAAAGTTGCTCGCAAGTCATTGGACCCACTGTATAACCAGGTGCTGCTGTTTCCTGAGAGTCCCCAGGGCAAAGTCCTGCAGGTGAGGGGTGTATGTGTGTGTGTGTGTGTGTGTGTGTGTGTGTGTGTGATTCTCTCTCATCATTGAAGTTTATCCTTAAATCTTTTTCATTTCCTCTAGCATTCCCTATTAGCGGGAGAGGGAGGTGCCCCTGTGTGTGTGTGTGTGTGTGTGTGTGTGTGTGTGTGTACGCACGCACCTGCACACTATTAGCGGGAGAGGGAGGTGCCCCTGTGTGTGTGTGTGTGTGTGTGTGTGTGTGTGTACGCACGCACCTGCACACTATTAGCGGGAGAGGGAGGTGCCCCTGGGGAGGGCCTCACCTGGAGGAGGTAGAGTGCTGTGGTTGATCAGAGCTCTACAACTTGCTGTGCAACTTTGCACAAGTTTCTTTGAGCCTGAGGTTCTTCATCTGCAAAATGGGGACAGTAGTCGTACCTACTAATAATAGTGACAGTAGCAGTGAAATGCGTGCTTTGTGTAAGAAAAGTATTTGCAAGTTTGGCCTATCGTAAGTGCTCTACACGTGGCTCCCATCATCATCATCAACCTCTGGAAGCCAGGGCGTGGCCTGAAGCACAGCGATAATAAACTGGGAGCCTTTTGAGTATCCCGACACGTGTCTGGCCCTCTGGCCGTAAGGAGAATCCTAGTGGTGACTGAAACCTGGAGCAAGAAACAGCCACCCATTGTGGGTACAGGCAGGGACCCGGGGAGACGCCTGCAGAAGCCACGTGCCTGTCCTCGTGGTGCTGTCTTTTGGGCATGTGTGGCTTGTACCTGATTTCTTGCTCCTCACCTGGGCAGGCAAAGCAAATGAGGATGGGGCCAAGGTTACAAATTGCCAAGACAGTGGGACTTTGCTAAGCTGAGAAGCCCAGGTCCTGTCTAGGACAGAGTTTTCAACCTGTGGGTTGAGATCCATCAGTGAATTGTGAACTCAATTTAGCTGGGCTCAACAGTTTTGTGTTTTGTTTTTCAATGGAATGGATAGGAGAGAAAACATTTCTCACTCATAGAAGGTAAGTCTTCTTTCGTGGGACACTCCCTTCAACTGTGAAGCCCATGTGTGCATGGCTAAGCATGATCCCTGTCAAAAATGTTAGCAAAGCCTTAGTTGGTGTAGCTTGGTGTTAGAGCATCAGCCCTAGCACTGAAGGGTCGCAGGTTCGATTTCCGGTCAAAGGCAGGTCAAGGGCACATACCTAGGTTGCAGGTTTGATCCCCAGCCTGGGTTGGGACACATGGCACATGCAGGAGGCAACCAATTGATGTTTCTCTCTCCCTCCCTTAGACTCTCTCTAAAAAAAAAATCCATGGAAAAAAATATCCCTAGGTGAGAATTAACAACAAAAAAGTCTGCAAAAATCCTTCAAATACAATTTAAAACAACCAGAAGGTCATCCAGATACCATGCATGTATCGGCCACTTTTTAAAACTTTGTTTCACACGGAGGGTTCTGGGGCTATGGAAGCAGAGGGCCCACGGGGGAAGCAGGGAGGGAACTCAGGATGTAGGGTCAGCCCTCGACTTGGACTCATGTAGAGCATGAATGGAACACAGAGGGCAAGACTGGAGGCAGAAAGCCATCTAGGTGAACAATGATTGAAGTACTGGCATCAGCATAATAGGGTGAACTTGAGGGATTTTAAGGTTGAGCAATTGTAAGGTGGTTGAATCCACAGGACTCAGAGGTGAATTGGGCATAAGGGTTACCCCAGGGTCTGTTTATGGACCTGTGAGTGGATTGGATGATGGGAACCATTGTGTCTCTTGCCCCACAGGTGATCGTGTGGGGCAACTATGGACGGATGGAGCGGAAGCAGTTCATGGGTGTGGCCCGCGTGCTGCTGGAGGAACTGGACTTGACCACCCTGGCCGTGGGCTGGTACAAGCTCTTCCCCACCTCCTCCATGGTGGACCCAGCCACAGGCCCCCTGCTCCGGCAGGCATCCCAGTTGTCCCTCGAGAGCACCGTGGGGCCCTGCAGTGAGCAATCTTAGTTCCAGGAACAGGGAGGGGCTCCCTGAGATGGCCTGGAGACCACCCAGCCCCGACCTGGGATCCCAGGCCCAGGGGCATCTTGAACAGAGGAGGACGGGGTTCTCCCCCACAGTGGGGAAGCAGAATAGGGAGACCTACCCCCCTTGGACCCTCCTCACCCTTCTTTGCCTCCTATCCCCTGAGACCTTTCCTTTCCCAGTGGGATTGGCTGCACTTTTGACTTGGCCGGTTCTTGACCTGGTGGATGTGGCTGCAATCCGAAGAAGGGAAGACTGAGGTGGCAGAGCAAACCACTCTCCTGCCCCAGACACTATCTGACTGCTCCTCTCTTTGCGTCCTCGGAAGCTCGCTCCCTGGAGCCAAGTCCAGAACCCAGCAGCCATCTCCATGGTGCCAACTACCAGCAAGTGTCTTTCCTGCGGCACCGGGTTCAGGCAGCTACACCTGCCCCAAAGCTGATGGGGCAGCTTTGCAAGGATCCGGAGCCAGCTCCGAGGGGCCCTGAGCCCCCCGCTTAAAGAGGAGCTCCGGCCTCCCTCCGCCTGCCCGTGGAAGAAGCTTTGCCGCAGCCTGTCCAAGTCCATCTGTCTGTCCCCTCCTGCCCGCCTCTCTTCCAGTGGAATTGGGGTCCAGCAGGGACCAAAGGAAAGGAGGAGGTGCCCAGGGCCTGGCACAGACCCCCCGGGGTGCCTTGCTCTGTGCGATTGAAACAAGTTGCTGTGGAAACTGTGGGACTGGAAGGAACTTTGTCATCTGGGTTTTGGGGGAGGAGCTGTGGGACCTTCATTTCTCAGAACCCCACGCCCAGAGGGCTCACAGTCTCTGCATTTTGGGGTGTTGGGTTGGAGAGGGAATCTAAGGAAAGCTGGGGTTGGGATTGGTGGTGCCAAGGTGAGGGTCTCCCAAATAGGAGGATCCCTTCTTGTTGGATGAGGTCAAAAGTCATCCTGCCTATCCCTTTGCCTCCAGGCTAGGGGCCTGGAGAGGCCACAGATCTCCCCTATTTTAGTCTTTTTAAACCATGTGTACTAAGGGCAGCACCCACTGCCCTGGCCTCAATTACCTTGGCTCAAGGAGAGAAAGAGAGGAGGTATGAGTCAAAGAACCGTGAGATTCCTTCTCGAGCAGGGCCTGGGTAGCCGCCTTCCTGGCCCAGCCCTCCCCGGGGCCCACGGAAGCCCTGTTGCATGCTGGGGAGGACTCGGGCTGGCCCCTCTTTATAGAAGCACATTTCTGCCACCTCCCCTGGGAGGCACCCAGCAGTCCACCACCCCTCATTACCCAGTCCCTGCTGTGTAGGGCGTAGTCCAGGTTAGCTGGGTAGTTAGTGTTCTAAGCCCCGGGCCTGTCCTTAGCTCGCACGTAGTTTTCACAGAGTCCCAGGGTGGATGGGGAGGAGACACAAGAACATTCCTGGAGACCACGGTCTCCTTGCTGGCCTGGGCCGTGGCTCAGGAGGCCAGCCCTCCTTCTCCCCCTGCCTTGCCCTCCCCCTGTAGGATTGTAGCTGGAGCTGCCCACTATACTCAGATGTTCGGATTTATTATCCTTGGTACTGATTTTATTTATGAAGCATTCCTGAGGATGTGGGCCTTGGTGTAGGGGGCCTGGACGCTATTAGAAGGGGTGTTTTCCTCTGAGGACGCCCGGCTGTGTCCAGTCCCACCTTATCCCTGGTTCCACGATAGGCTGCTGACCAGGTGATTCTTTCACCTGGAATTCCTTAGCCCCGCCTCCACCCCCACCTCTACTCACCCGCCGCCCCCCAGGCCTGTTTGAGCCCTGGGCATCCTTTAAAGTCTGGTTGAGTTCAGTTGCCTCCATGGAGCCTCTCACACTGCATTAGGAAAGGGTATGAAAAGGCCCCTGAGGCCTTCAGAGCTCCCGGGGTTTGTCGGGGTGGAACCCCAAGACTTGATCAGGAGGCAGCTGGGCTCTGGATGGACTCGCATCTGAGGCCCAGAATCGCCCCTCACTGTTTGTTTGTTTTAACCAGTGTGATTTCTCTGGTGTTCGTTTATTACTCGGCATTTGGAATATTTTGAGCCAGGAGAGCGCCTTCTCTCTCTGCAGCTGTCACCGCTCTGGTTGTACAGGGGTCGTTTTCAAAGACGGGACAGCGCCTGCTGTCCCAGCCAGAGGGAGAGGAGGCTCGGTGCTCCCCAGCCTGAGCCCCCCCTCTGAAGTCTGCACAGCGTTCATAAAGAGGGAGAGCGCTCCAAAGCAATAACAACATCCTGGGGGTGGTCCCCAAGGGCCCCCTCGCTGATTTCCTTGTTTGTTCTGTGAAATCTCAGCTCACCTCCTGGAGGGGTGGGTGGGTGGGGGCTGGAGCCCCTTTTCTTGGTATCATCGTTGTGAGCACATTCCCCCTTCCAAGGGGCTCTGACCCCCCATTTAGCGTGGGAACCACCATGTCCTCACCCAGGGATAGGGGCTTGGGGAGGGGGTGACTATGCTCATTATTAGCTTTGGGAACCTTCAAGGTCATCCTGTCCCCACTGCTGTCAGATCCTTTGCAGCTCAAACTCCCCCATTTGGACAGGATCAGAGAGGGCAGAGTTGGGGCAAATTGGGTGGGGAGGGGCTGGGTCTCTAGGGGAACCGAGTTTATTTTTCAATCTCTGGTCCAAAGGTCACATGCAGAGGTCGCGTGGGGGTTAGTCTTCTCCAGAATCTGCTTTTCATACTAAAGGGAAAGGGGCTTTGGGACCATTAGTAAAGTCATTTCCATTTTACAGACTAGGAGAGAGGCCAGTGCAGGAATTACACCTGGGGTCACCTGTAAGTTCACTGGGCCTCCTCCTACCTGAGGCTGCACTGGAGCCGGGGCAGGAAGACTGCTCAGTAAATCAGAACAGGGTTCCATTGTGCTTCCTTCCTTCACGGGACAGGAGACCATTGCCCCAGGGCATGTCTGCTAAGGAAAGTAGTTGTGGCCTTTAAGCCCTGGGTCATCCACTGCTGCTTGGTTCCATCTCTACGGGCCAGGAATTTTTCTGGGCCTGGGTTTGGGGAAGAGGGTTTGCCATAGAGATCTAGCTCTCCTGGGGTCTGGCCCAGCTGACAGGATTTGGTCCAGGCCTTGGTGACTGGGTGGGGGCTCCTGCCGAGGGGCCATAACCCTCTAGGACCAACTCGAGGAAGGTAAGAAGCTCACTTCCTGCGGGGGCTGCGTGGGTGTGAGGCTGCTCGGGTACACCTCATCTCAAGGAGAGCCTCACACCTTCAGATGTAATATCTGATCTTCCTGTTGTTTTTGTTTTCAAAGTGCTTTTACCCTTACAGGATCCCCTGGGCAGTAGGTGGGGGTCCCTTATCAGCCCCATTTTAAAGAGGGGGAAGCTGAGGCCCTGGGAGGGGAAGGTGCCTGCTAGGGTCCCACTGTGAGTTAGTGGCTGAGCACAGACTGGAGCTCAGTCCTCCCAACAGCTCAGAGCTCTTTCTTCTGCGCTGGTAAGTACAGCAGTTTCGGGGGTGGCTATGCACTTTACAAGCTGATTCACCCTCCAGGTCCTTAAACCAGGAGCTCCCGGGCACACTTCGGTGTTCAGAACAGCACGTAGCCCCCTTCCCCTTGGAGCACAGCTGTTGCGTCAGGCAAGGCCACCTGTGTTTATTTATTGAGCAGCAGCGTTGTGCCAGGCCCAGGGGACCGAGCCATCCCCGTTTCCCTTGAGGACCCCCACAGCCCTCAGGGAGGGCCCCGTGTCTGTGTGGCAGCACCTCAGTGATGGGAAGCTTTCATGTCCATGAGCTCATCTGACTCACAAACCCCGTAGGGAGGCTGGTCGTGCCCATTTTACTCATGGCTTCTGTGAGAGCAAAGTGGAGACTCGAACCCAGGGCCTCAGACATCAGCTCTGGAGCCCTTTCACTCTTCAACCGCCTCCTGAGGGGGTGGCAGGAAGGCAGGACCCGGGTTCCTCAGGCTGAGGCCTCTCCACCCACCAACCTTCCCTTCATTCCCTCTCCAGGAGCGGGAGCCGCTCGGGCCTTTGGGGAGGGAGGGTTTCCGGCCCCTGGGTTGGAGTGGGTCACGTTGCATTGTGTTCATGACCATGTAGCTCATGTTGACAATTAAAGTTTTTGGCTTTTCTAACTTGTCTGGCTCTGCTTTGTGTTGAGGCCGTTCTATCTGGGAAGCTACGGGCAGCTGTTTTAAGGAGCTGAGTCTGCAGGATGTCGGCATGTCCCACCATGGCCTTTTGTGATGCCCCCTTGGTCCTGTCCCGGGGCCCCTTCCAGGGATGCATAGGAGGGAGCAGGATTCTAGGTGAACCCAGTCATTTTACAGATGAGATTTAACAGAGGATCAGATAGGGGATGGGATTTACCAAAGTCACATTGCGTGCCGGTGTCTAGCAGGACCCAGATCTCACAACTCCCAGACGAGAGTTTGTCTCACAGCAGTCCGTCACGTCCAGGTGGCCTCAGTGACGTGGTGGGTGTCAGCACGGCCCCCTTCTCCCAAAGTGGCGCTGGCCCAGGACCAAGAGCATCACCCAGGGTGGGGAGAGTGCGCCGCAGTCCCACCTGGGCCAGTTCCTCTCTATGGGCTGAGCAAGAGAGCGAGACCATCTAAGCAGGGCAGCGATTTGCCCACTGGTCCACGCTGGGCAGCAGATGGGGCCTTCCAATCAGTCCACATCCTCCCTGGCTTCTCATGGTGTGAGCAGCTGGCCTCACGGGTAGGAAGCCAGTCACGAAAACCGTGCATTTTCCCTGCAACATAAAAACCTGCCTCCTCCGCAGCGGGACAGCCACCTGTGTCCACTCCAGAGGGCCAGATAGTGTGGCCACGCCTTCCTAAAACAGTTGGGACTGTGGGGACTTGCACCTCCTGGGTGACTTTAGAATCGTAATTGTGCTTATGACACGACTTTAATATATTTTTGGAGGTGAGAGAGGGGCTAGCCACAGAAGGGAATGCGAACCTGCTTGTGGCAGAAGATGGCATTGCAGCCGAGGCCCCTCACCCCTCTCCAAGCTCTGGGGAGAGTGGGGCACCGACAGTTAACCCAAACCCTCGACCCCAACGGGGG